GAAGAACCAGCAACATCAACTTCGTAACACCCTTCAACGTGAAACAGCAGAACGGCGACGTGAAGAGGTGTTAAGCAGAGAACACCAAAGAGCTCAAAGAATTCAGGATATTGGCGATAAATTAGATATAATGTGTGAAGAAAGAGATGATAATGAAGAGATGAAATATCAAAGATCAATTTTAGAAAAGTGTCCAAGTTTGCGTAGGTGTTATACATATGAACGGCCATTTAGCGAACGAGGGTAAGTTTTTAAATCATGTTTAATTGTCTTGCATGTTTATTTTATTGCATTATCTAAAATCACTTTTCTTGATGTTCTTAAATTACTTGTGCAAAATCACGTATCCAAAATTATTTATTCAAAATCACTTAAATTATGGTTGATTTTATTGTAGATGGAAAATTTTACGACAAAAGTTAATAAAGGAATATCCGGAGGCAGAGCGATTGTACAAGTGTGTGATTGATAGCAGCGATGAAGATGATAATTACGACAATGGTGGTGGTGGTATTGATGATGATGATGAAATACTTATCGATGATTCAGATGATTTAAGTGATGATGGTACAAAACTCTTCTTTAGCTCTGGCAAATACCGTTGCATGATTCAATAGATAAGCAGTATAATATCTAAATCAAAGCGGCATAGCACATTTGTAGGCATATTTGTAATTATATGGACTATATTATATAGCTTATCCGAATAGCGTATTATGAATAATAAAATCAATTCTAGAAAGGACTTTATTGAACATTATAAATGTTATTTTCTTTCACACAAAATATGTTGCGATACTAGAAAATTAAGCATTAATTCTTTTTTTTTTTTTTATATATTTTCCATTAGTAAATACGGAGTCATTTCTTCATCTAATGTATAGTGCATTGTTTTTTTTTAATATTACAACTTGTGAGTCATTGAACTCATTTTAACTTAGATTCGGATATTTGGCTTTACTCATTTTTTCTTTTATTGTAACGTTATCCGAAATTTTCATATGATCGACAAATATTATTGAAAAACTTTATAGGATAGCATTAATATTTGGCATACGATCCATTATCGTAAATCGTGATCTATACGTGTAAGCTTTATTAAATTAATTTTTTACATAACGAATATAATATTGTATAATAAAATTTAAGATCACAAAGACTCTGTACAGCAAGACTTAATAATAAAACCTATTACGTAAAAGTAAGACCATACAAATTTAATATTTTGTTTTCATAACATGAAACTTATTTTATAAATAATCCGCCCGGTTATTAAAAAGTATAAAAATTGTTTTCTGAAAACCGATTAATTAGTTTTCTAACTCTAATCTCTAAAATTCAAAAATTTAAATACTATTTATGCTAGTAGGTTGGATGTGTAGAAACGCACCAAATATTTTCAAATTTTTTAATAAAAATTTCAAATCAATTTTACAAACTTGTAAATTTATTTAAAAAAAGATTACAGTATATAAATTTGATTAAGTTTTTGTTGAGTTATTTTTGTTTAAAGTTTAAAAAATTTATTTTAAAAAAATATAGTGTATTTCTATTAACTCACCTCTATATATATATTTTATTATATTTTTTATATAGCCAGATCTTATAAATATAATTTTTTTAGAAGGCCAGTTTTTATACCCAAATTTATTATTCATACCTCCTACATATTTAACTTTTTTCTAAACCTCTTAGATAAAAAGTTATAGCTATTTAAAAAATTGAAACACTTCATGTAACTGTTGAGTATAGACTTCCAGCACTATATTAAAAAAAAACTTTCTATAATTGCATAAAATTTCTTTCCAAAATCGAAAAATTAGGATCGAAGCTTTACCTCAAACTTTATTTAATATTGATGGCCCTAATTCAAATTACACAGTATATTTATAATGTGTAACATTTGATCTAGTCCCGATATATAAAAATATAAGCATTGTATAATAATTGTTTAACGAAAAAAAATTTTTATAAACGTATAGTACATGATTCTCTTCGAGACACTATATAAAAAGAATAATAATTATTTGAATA